TTTACAAAAAGATGTTTTCTTAACACATCTCCATCTGATAGTAGTTGATCTTGCAAACTGTTTATGATAGAACCACTGATGACAACTGAACCAGGAGTCAAGTGGCGTCTGATTAGAGAGTTACCGGTTCGATATTTATATATATTTTAGAATTTATTGAATAGATAAGGTGTGCATTTCATTTTTTCCTGTATGTTTTCACTTTGTGCCATTTTCCCGATTTTCCTACTTGTGGCATTTTTACCCGTGCAATTTTTACATGTGCCATTTTTACCGTGCTATTTCTACTTGTGCCATTATTACAGTGCACCGACCAAGGATTTCTCTATTCTTTATATATTTTTTTAGTTTAATAGACAGATAACGAAAAATAATTTAGAGCTTAAAGAACGATTTTTCATCTTTAAAATGCATTTTAAACCTTAGGTATCGTGTTTTTTATGAGGTACCTACTTTAGCCAAACATGTATAAATGAAGGATTACTTCCTAAACACACACACACACACACACACACACACACACACACACACACACACACACACACACACACATATATATATATATATATATATTAGGTTTTGCTCCACTTAGTGTATTGAGCACTTTACGTAGTTACCTTTTTACTCCTTTTGTTTTTTCTCTCGTTAGATTTGGATCTTGAATACTGGATGATTGTTTTCGCCTTGGTTTAATGTTCTTTGTTCTTTTTTTATTCCCCATTTTTCCTCGGGTACGGATTTGTTCTACTGCAAGTTGAACTATCCGAGGTTTTTCCAAACGAGTACCACCATTTATATATACATACATACATATATATATATATATATATATATATATATATAAACTTTAGAGAAGTTTTCTTTTACGTAGAAAGACGAGGAGAAAAGAGCACTTGTACATTTACACGTGTTTTATAAGAATGGCGAGTGTGCTTGTCATATGTTTTCGAAATAGCTTAAAAAATAAACAGTAAGACGGAAGCGCAGAAAAGAAAAGAGAAATGATGAGATTCAATATCAACACGTGACAGATTCTCTGTTTTGAATGCCGTGAAAAGTCGGAGAGGTAAAGTTAAATGGTATGTATTAAAGAATAACATCCAAACTTATAAATAAATCATCCTGTAACAGTTAGTGTTATTTATTTACACTGAAAGCAACCGGTAAAAAAAAAAATGAAACTAAAAAACAAAAACGGGCCAGCCGCCGGTTTTCACTATTCAGCCTTGTAAGTCGGTGCGAGATTAATAAATGGAGTCCGTACGGGAGTAATGAAAGTAAAACTATGCTTTCTAAGATGAGGTCAGTCTGGCACAAGGCCACAATCGTAGAGCACCCAAAGAGGTTCGAACTCACTGCAATAGCAATAGCAAAGCGAATTCGCTAACATTCTATAGTCGACCCCACAGAGTAAGCTTTGCACAGAGAGACAGAGAGAGAGAGAGAGAAAAGAGATAGATAGATAGATAGATAGAGAGAGAGAGAGAGAGAGAGAGAGAGAGAAAATGAGAGAGAAAGAAAGAGAGTGAGATAGAAAGAGGGAGAGAGCATATGGGATTGATTTATTATTGCTTAAAATATAAAGATTGTATATAAAATCTTTTATGACGTGTACTAAGAGACAATAACCAATTTGGTTAAAAGTGCTTGAAAATCAACACAGTTTATGTATGTATTGAATACACACATCTATATTCAAATTAAAAGATTTAGGATTACAGATTTGACACAGTATCACTGTTTAAAAGTCTTTCTTTTTAAAACTACACGTTTATTTTTTTTTACCCTACATTGATTAATTTACGCTTTTATGTTCTTAAAAAGAAAATATCAAATCATACAGAATATAAACTGACATTTTTAATTCTATAAACGAATGATTTAACTTTTTTTTAATTTTCATTTGATAACTTAGGCATTAAGTTAACTAAAAGACATGTACGATGCGAGCACGAATCAATTTCATTGTAAAATGTTGGCTCAATGTAAATGATATTCTATTCACCAGTGAATTAAGTGCATTGACAAAGAAGATTATGTTGAAAAGATTTGTAACGTAAAATATAAAATTCTTTTCTTTTTCGTCATTAGACGATGTATTGCTTGATATACGTATTTATACATTCAGACATGCAAAGAAAAACAAACAAGCAAGCAATAAACGATTCCATTTTCAAATAAAATTAAAATTTGCTTTAAAAAAAAAGAAAAATAAGGGAATAAATGATCCGTGGGTTGCATTTTTTTTTTTTAAATGATCGTTGTGGTGTGTACAGTTGGATATATGGTATGCACTAACACTTAAGCGCCGGTCATTTTTACATCACCGATATGTGTGTGTGTTTGTGTGTGGATGTGTATGCATGGTTTGAAAACAGCAAAAATAGATGAAAAAGCGAAGTGAAAATTTAAAAGGTGTGTATAAACATTTCCAGTGCTTTCTGTTTTAAAAAATACACGGAATATACAGAAGAAAGACGATTCCTCATATATATATATATATATATATATATATATATATATAAGTCCTGATTGCTTTTAAGCATGAAACAAACTGTCGCCGCTGGGTGTTGAATTCAATGTCCACTCTTATATTTACATACGCTCTATCTCTGATATTGAGCACTTTATGAATATATATATATATATATATATATATATATATATATATAATTATAAAAAGTTATTGGTTAGAGTTTAATTAGACCAGGAAACAGTAATATTAAAAAGTGCTCATTACACATAGAAAAGAAAATAAAAATTTAACATGAAGATTTTTTTTTAATTTAAAATAATTAGGGGATCATCCAATCACGCTATCTTGGTTTCGGCATCTTCAGGCGATCCGAAGTAAATAATTTCCTAAAGCGTTAGAAGATTATTTTGCCCGGATCGCCTGAAGATACCGAAAGGTTGAAACTCAAGGTAGCGTGATCGGATGATCCCCTAATTTTAAAAAATTATATATATATATAAATTAAAAAAATAAAAATATATATATATATATATATATATATATATAATTTAAAAATTATATATATATATATATATATATATATATATATATATATATATATATAAATTATATGTGTGTGTGTGTGTGTGTGTGTGTGTGTGTAAATATCAAATAGTGCACATTCAGTGCTGGTGGTAATAAAACAGTCGTCCATGTAAAATAACTGCTAAAATTTATACTAAAAATAAATATAGATTTATTAAATGTTGTAAACTTTTGCAAACACGTAATACTTATTGATCTGAATACCTCACCGTGGAGCAGATGGCTAGCAGGCTGGTATCATAAACCATTACGACATAACTTTGTTCTTAACTGGTGTCTTTACGTTTTTGTAACATACAGTCAATAAATAAAAATGAAACGAGCAGTTGTACCGGCCGTGATAGAGAAATAGATGAAATTAGAATTTTGTTGCAGCTATTTTTTATACGAATCCTTATTTCTGGAGAGACAAAGTATGGATCGAATTCACAAAGTATAAGTTGAGAGATGTGGACATCGATCTCATAGTAAACTAGTGTCTTTTCCAAAGGGAAACTAAATATTTAGTCCAAAGTTTCACAACTTCATTGTTAGGTTGTTCTGAACCATTGGAAGAAAAAATAAAAGTGTTTGTGTGGCCGATTCAGATTTAGTTTCGTTTCTTGATTTGTTTGCTTGTTTTTGTTTTTAACTTTAAAAAAATAATAAAAATATACATAAATAAAGAGAAGTGGCCACATCCATAATTAAAAAAAAAAAAAAAATTTTCAACACCAATGATATCCAACTTATGTATGAGCTTATGATTGTTCTTTCGATTAAAAGGTGAATTTGTTTCCAAAGGAAATATATAGTCACTACGTTATTCTTATCAACGTGCATGCAAAACCAGGAAAACAGGTTTAGCAGGGAATTTGAAGATAATAATAATAATAATAATAATTTTGTTAGGCGATAAATCTGTGAACTTGACAATTACTACAAAAAAAAAAAAAAAAACATAGAAAGCACAACAAAACAATAACATATCAATTCCGTACAATAAAAACAAAACAAAACAAAAAAAAATTCACGAACCAGTAAAAAAATAATCACAAGAGACGCGAATACACAGCTATCATCCAAAACAACGTTAATAAGAATAATATTTAAAACCTGCCGTCGGTAGACGTATAGAACGCGTTGAGGTGTGGAGGCAGCGGTTTCTGGGACAGACTTGCGTAGGTGGGTTTTTCACGTGGATATCATTTGAATAAAACCAGCGGAAGTACACTTTTTTGTTGTTGTTTAGTTTCCGACACTCTGTTTCAACTGACGGTGGTCGAACTGATGTCGGTAAAGCCCAGCCTCTTCCGCTAATTCTTTTATGTTTGCCTTTTCTCCACTCTAGCATGACGGGTGAGGCACTCTAATTGGGTCTCTTTTCTCCGTTTGCTGCCTCTAGTAGTACGACTACCCAGTCAGTCAGAGACAACGGTCCTGTCGACATACTCGAAAACAAAAAAGCTAAAAATCAAACCCATCATCCACGATATTAAAAAGGGGTGAGGGAAGTTGATAGATAGATAGATAGATAGATAGATAGATAGATAGATAGATAGATAGATAGAGAGTGTTCTTTTTTCCGGGTTTTATCGAATAAAGAACTTAGCGATAAAAAAGAGACAAAGAGGAGAAAGACAATGAGGTATATTTTCAAGTTTACTAAATTAACTTGAGAGGTAATCTTTTTCTATGTGCTGTGTCTCTTCAGGACGTTGGTGATTATGGCGCTCCACAACCACATATCCTTAATAAAGTTTGTCTTTTTGATATATCTCCTAATCATTGTTCAGCCAACCATTTTTACAGAAGCTCGATGGGTAGGTTATCCGCTGTTTGCATAATAGAGTAGGATAGATAGATAGATAGATAGATAGATAGATAGATAGATAGATAGATAGATAGATATAATGAAAAGAATAGGTAGATAGATAGATAATGAAGAAAGTAGGATAGA